CGGTGAAGCATAATGCAGATGGCTCCATTGAGAGGTATAAGACTCGGTTAGTTGCAAAAGGGTTCACACAGACTTATGGCATAGATTACTTGGAGACCTTTGCCCCGGTAGCCAAGATGACTACCATTCGGGTCCTCTTCCTGTCCTTGTTGAGGATCCCCTTCCCGTGGTTCCTATTCCAGTTGCGGATCCCCCTCTCGTGCCATTTACTACTGAGAGGCCACCAATCAGACAAGTGTATATTCACAGAAGAACACCGGCCCCTCCTCCAATTCAACCCTTGTTGACAGATCCTATGGTCGCATCTTCTCCCTCGGACCTTTATCTTCCTATTGCCCTATGGAAAGGTAAACGTACTTGTACTTCTCATCCTATTTCACACTATGTTTCAGTTGCTCACCTTTTTGCTTCTCATCGCAACTTTATATCATTGCTATCATCTGTCTCCATTCCCAAGACTGTCCAGGAAGCCCTTACCTCCCTAGGGTGGCGGCAAGCAATGGAAGAGGAACTGTCTGCTCTACAACACAATCATACGTGGGAACTCACTACTCTTCCTCTTGGTAAGCATGTTGTTGGGTGTAAGTGGGTCTACATAGTGAAGTATCTTCTAGATGGTAGTGTGGAACGATTGAAGGTCAGGTGAGTGGCCAAGGGCTATTCTTAGTTGTATGGTGTGGACTATATGGAGACATTTTCTCTTGTGGATAAAATTAGTTCCGTTCGGATGTTGATATCATTAGCTGCTATGTATGATTTGCCTCTTTTGCAACTTGACATAAAAAATGCCTTCTTGCATGATGATCTCCTTGAGGAGGTGTATATGGAGCAACCACCAGGGTTTGTTGCTTAGGGGGAGGATGGTAAGGTTTGTAGACCCAAAAAGGCAATTTATGGATTGAAACAATCTCCATGTGCTTGGTTTGGCAGGTCCAATGAAGTAGTGAAGAACTTTGGGATGAAACAGTGCCAGGTAGACCATTCTGTGTTCAGCCATGACTCAATGGATGGGAAAATCTTGCTAGTGGTGTATGTGGACGATATTGTCATAACTAGGAGTGATAGTAATGGGATTGACAGGTTGAAGAAATTCTTACAGGACCGCTTCAATACGAAAGATTTGGGTAAGTTGAAGTACTTCCTGGGAATAGAAGTTGCAAGGTCAAGACATAGAATTAACTTATGTCAAAGAAAATATGTTCTTGACCTACTTGAAGAAACAGGACTGTTAGGTGCCGAGACTCCTATGGAATTGAATGTCAAGTTGAGTGTTGATGCAGGTGAAGAGTTTGATGATCCTGGAAGATACAGGAGGTTGGTGGAAAAGTTGAATTATCTGACTATTACCTAGCCAGATATATCATTTGTTGTGAGTATGGTGAGTTAGTTTATGCAACATCCTTGGATTCCTCATTGGGAAGCAGTTCTGAGGATTGTTAGGTACCTGAAGGGTGCTCCAGGTCGTGGTTTGCTATACAAAAATGGAGGGACTCTTGAGATAGTAGGATATACAGATGCTGATTGGGCTGGTTCTGTATCAGAAAGGAGATCAACTACAAGGTATTGTAGCTTCCTTGGTGGCAATCTTGTAACTTGGAAGAGTAAGAAACAAACAATGGTGGCAAGGAGTAGTGTAGAAGCTGAGTACAGGGCTATGGCTCATACCACATGTGAACTGGTATGGTTGAAGAACTTGCTACAAGAGATGGGCTTCTCAGTTGACAAACCCATGAGACTATATTGTGATAATCAAGCAGTTGTGCACATCTCTTCTAATCCAATCTTCCATGAGAGAACCAAGCATATTGAGGTCGATTGTCACTTTGTAAGAGAGAAAGTGACCAATGGAGTGATAACCACATCTCATGTGAGCTTGGGAAATCAGTGGGTAGATCTCTTTACAAAGGGATTGTCTCGGGGCAGAGTAGATTATATTTGTGACAAGCTGGGACTATATGACATATACTCTCCAGCTTGAGGGGGAGTGTTAGAGTTCACAAAACATGGGTAATTTGGTCTTTTAGGTTTATCTATTTGAGAGGGTCAATTTTTTCCCTCTACTGGCCGAACCCTTCTTCTCCTTCTTCTTCTTCTCTTCTGCTTCCTCTTCTTCCTCTTCTTTTCTACTTTAACCTAGAACTGAATAGGGTTGTTCACAATGTACTTCAAAGAAAAAGGCCAGACTGGAGCCTTTGCCCACATGTCTGTTACCTTTGCTTAAGAAATGGTGAGACAGCGACTCATCTTTTGATTTCTTGTCCTTTTTCTTATTATTTGTGGGATTGGTTCTCTTCTTTGTTTGGTTATAGATGGAACACCCCCCCCGGGTGTGCTGAACCTTTTTGACTCTAGCTTCTTTCGACAACCAAGGAAAAGGGGCAGGGTAATGTGGAGAATAACAAGAACAGCCATCCTATGGACAATTTGGGAAGAGAGAAACAATAGTATCTTCCTGGGGCAAGAAAATTCCAAGGAAGCACTTGTGGAGGTTGAGGTTATGCACTGGCTGTAAGTACATCATCTCTTCAAGGACTTCTCCTCAGCTGACTTAATTAGAAATTGGAGTGCTATAGCTGTGTCCTTGCCTTCCTCCCCTGTGGTACAAGAATGTTGGGTACCACTGCCTCAGTTCAAGGCGAAGCTAAACTTTGATGGAAGCTCCTTGGGTAATCTAGGTCAGTCGGGAGTTGGGGGTGTGTATAGAAACGAGGAAGGAAAAGTCTTGGCCCTTTACTCGGGCCCAATTGGGGTTGGAGATTCATTAAGGGTAGAAGTAATGGCCTTGCTTCAAGGTTTGAAACTGGCAAAACAATGGGGAATGCAGCAATTAGAAGTGGAAGGAGACTCCAAGCTGGTAATAGGGTGGATGCAAGCTGGAAACCTAGGAGTGTGGTCTCTTAGACAGCCTCTAAGAGAGATTATTAGCTTAGCAAGGGAGATTGGGGTGCATTTTAAATGGGTAAGAAGGTCAGCAAATGGAATGTCTGACACTTTAGCTAAGCAAGAAGTTACTAGGGAGGCTTTGTTTTGGGCCTGTTTGTAAGTTCTTGATTTTCTTTTTCCATCCATTTTGTGGGTGGTAAGCCTGTAATCTTTTCAATTCTCTAATGAAAGTTACCATTATTTAGAACCTATATAAGGTGCTTTGTCAATTAGGACTGCAAAATATGGTCCATTGAACTAGGAATGTGACTATTTGTCTATACTTGCTTTCATGGCAATTAGCATAGCTTAATGAGTAAGGATAGAAGATTAAATTGATTAATAGTTAGATTAATATTGTATTGGAAATTTTAGTATACAATATGTATAGGTAATCTCTTGGGGTTGGCTTGCCATATTTTGATTTCTTTTTATCAGCAACCTCAAATTTATTAAGAAAAGTGTAAAAGAAAAAGTACAGTTGTCAGGTCCTTCTAATACCTGGAGGAACATGACCTAATTCCAACCTTACAGAAACAAGTACAAGCCCTTTTTTGTTTTGTCATCTTCTTTCTTGTGATGCCTTAGTCTCATTGTAAGGCTTGGTCCGTTCAATTTATCTGTAGGGTGTGAGTTTGTATATCTCTTAATGTAATCAAACTGACTTGTTACAGATCAAAAGTAAAAGAAAAAAGAAGTGTATGACAAGTAACCATTGCATTATAATTATTTTGTAGATACGATTTGCAAGTGTGGATCTGGAGCTACATACAAAGTATATTCCTGGTGGGTCAGAAACTATTTATGATGTTGATCAAAGAGTTGGTAAGAAAACACAAGTCATCCCAGTGTTGCCAGAGGATAGGTTCCTTTGTAGTTTCAGCCATATTTTTGCAGGTCAGTACTCATGGTATATCTTATTGTTGCTTTCCATTATGTTTCTGCTAATTCTCGACGGTTATATAATTCATTTCTTTGCTTTTCTGCATACCAGGTGGATATGCGGGAGGATACTATAGTTACAAGGTAGACTTATTAATATTACTATTCTCACATGGTTACATGGTATCTTTTGACATTTGTGTTTTCTAGCTGCTTCTCAGTCTTAAACATGATTGTGAAAGATCATAGTGTATTGCCATTACCATTATGATTGTAAAGTGCAACAACTTTAATTTTGCAAACCTAAATAGGTTTCAGATATGATTGGTATCGTTAACTTATTGACATTATCTTTATTGTGCTTGCCATTGTTTGTTTAGCTGTAATGTATGATTATTATGCACATTATGAAATACAATAAGAATCTACTTTATCTAGTAAAAGGTAGTAAAAATATATTAGAGCACTATTTTAGTGGTTTTTGTAACCTTAAGAGTTACTGGTCATTAACTTGCTTCATGGAGCTGGATATCATTCACAAATTTCCCTGAAATGCATTTAGGTTTGATTCATTTAGGTGAAATCAACATATTAGTTCATATGGATCAGAAAACATAGTGGTATAGTAGGAGATAAGGAAGTGCATGTTCATATTTTCTTCATTGAAACTGACTGGAACATTAACCAAGGGGACTAGGGGAGTAGATCTGAACAATCTAGTTTGGTTGACTGGATAAACCTTGTTCACTTTATGTGGTTATGGTGTATTAACAACCGGCAAATTTAAATATTGGACCTTCTAGAAACCATGCTGCTTTAAGATTTGATACTCTCCTCCTTGATTTCTCTTTACCATTTTGGAGTTTGTAAGTTCCATAGGTAATTACTATTACAACATTATTTGGAGAGTGATATTTATATAGAAAATCTTGGTCATTCTGTAGACATGCCAATCTATTTAGTGATGAATGAAAATTTATCTCTATTTTGAATTGTCCATTTGGTGTGTGTGTGTGTGTGTGTATTGCCAATCTCTCTCTCTCTCTCTCTCTCCATATATATATATACCCCAAAAGAAGACTGTTCCTCTACCCTTAATTTTCTTTCTAAATTCATGTCAATTTTGCAGTGGGCAGAGGTCTTATCAGCTGATGCTTTTTCAGCATTTGAAGATGCCGGGTTGGAAAATGACAAGGTATGACTACAAACTTATGGCATTGTTTGGGTTCTTTTATTTATTTATTTTTCAATTTCAATCTTATGTCTTGTAACTATTCTGTGGATGCTACAATTATGATCATGGTAACTGCTGTATTTATCTCTATTAATTATTTAATGATATTTTCTCATATATGTTTTCCAAATGAATCATTGTATTCCATGTAACACAACTTTATTTGCTTCTGTTTGTTATTTTGAATTTGATAGCTTAACATTTCAGTTCTATGGTTCTCATTACAAACAAATATATTAATCCACTGCATTTAGGGGAAGGCCTTTCAATGGAGTTTTTTTTTTTTTTTCTTTTTTCACAAGCTAGCCAATTAGCAATGTGATTTGAGACAGTGAATTATAGCAATGTCCCCTAACATTTGTTATTTTTAGGTATAAAAGTGAACACACAAACGTATATAAAGTAGCTTTCAGGCTCAAATAGACGAGTTTCTTTGGGGAAATTAGTAGATAAAAAGAAAATAGGAGTAATGATGGTTGTGTATTTGGGGGTATTACGGTTTTATCATTGGAGTGACCTTGTTAGCAACTTTGAATACATAAGAAGGGTACAAACTTGTTTTCATTATTCATGTTAAACTTTGTTTTCTCATGTTGTGCCTAATTTTGCATTTTATTCCCAATATTGTATTGATGCTACTTTTATCCGTGGTTTGCACGTTTATAATGCATCCATCTGATCTTTTGAAGGAACAGATCAATCTCTTAATATTGATAGTGGTTTTACTAAAATGGATACTGAGAATCAATTCTTGCAACAGGCTGTAAAGGAAACTGGTCACAGGTTCCGAGAGACCATTCTTGCTCTTGGAGGTGGAAAATCACCACTTGAGGTTAGACATGATCTACTTGTATATGCCTTCTGGTATTTCTCCTGTTGTGTGAAGCTTTTATAATCCCAACTCCCCTAACTTTTATTTTTCATTTTCAGGTTTTCATAGAATTCCGAGGGCGTGAACCTTCTCCTGAGGCACTACTACGGCACAATGATCTTTCGCCAATTGCAACCTCAGCTTGAACTCTATCATTTGTTTTGCAAAAATATGATTCAAAATTATGTGACAAATATGTGGACTCTCCCATGTAACTCTAATGTACACCGTCTCTTGATTGGTTTGTGGTTTACAATGATATTTATCTATTATAGTTATAGAGAAGGCTTTACAGTTTTTCCAGAAAAAGTTCTATCCCGGTGGATGACATTTTACATAAGAATTCACAATCATAAAGTAACTATTGATCATCTTTCTCCCATAGATGCTTTATGTAACTTCTCAAGTCAAAGTTTTAACCTAGCTAAGAAGCTTTTTGTAACGTACTGTAATTTTGACTATTTTTTCCACAACCTTTTTAACTACCAATTTGAACTATTTGGAATTTTGGAGCTTACTAAAGGGTTATATAACTTGAAACTGAAAATGCTTGACGAGGTAACTCGTCCGTGTATAACCAACCTTGGAGCCCAATGATGTCCACTAAATGTTTGATCAGATAATGGATCATTCCACTTTCACCCACCAGTCATGTATGTTCTAGGGGCTGTTTTGTATTATTGGGATTCGGCCTGCCCTTGAATCCTATTAAGCTGATAACAGTCAAGAAGGAAGAGAGAAAAAGAAGAGAAAAGAAGAGAAGAAAGGGAGAGAAAGAATGAGAGAGAAAGATCACTCTCCCATTTGGGTAGAATTGATTTATATTACTTATATTGTGGAAAAGACACATGTGCCCCTACTTAAGTAAGGGGCACTAAATCTAACATAATCTTACACATCAGCACATAAACATAAGTATAAAGACAAGACTACCCTTATATATTCAACACTAACACTCCCCCTCAAGTTGAAGAATATATATCTTATAATCCCAACTTGTTACATATGTATTCCATTCTTCCTCGACTCAACCCTTTAGTAAACAAATCTGTCCATTGGTTCTTTGTGTAAACATATGTAGTATCTATCACTCCACTTGACATATTTTCTCTCACAAAGTGACAATCAATCTCTATGGGCTTGGTTCTCTCATGAAAGATCGGATTAGAAGAAATATGAAGTGCAACCTGATTGTCACAGTAGAGTTTCATTGGAGTGTCAATAGTGTATCCCATTTCTTGTAGAAGGTTCTTCAGCCATACTAATTCACAAGTAGTATGTGCCATAGTTCTATATTTTGCTTCTGCACTGCTTCTTGCCACAATTGTCTACTTCTTATTTTTCCATGTCACCAGATTACCTCTAAGAAAAGTGCAATAGCCTGTGGTAGATCTCCTATCAGACATAGAACCGACCTAGTCAGCATCAGTATATCCTTCTATTTTAAATTTTCCACCACTCTTGTATATCAAACCACGACCAGGAGCCCCTTTTAAATACCTCGCAATTCTTAGAACTACATCCCAATGTGGAACCAACGGATTCTGCATGAATTGACTTACCACACTAACCGCAAATGAAATATCTAGCCGAGTAATGGTTAGGTAGTTAAGTTTACCTACAAGCCACTAGTATCTGATAGGGTCTTCAAACATTTCACCCATATTGCTACTCAGCTTAGTGTTAGTTTCCATAGGTGTTTTAGCTGGTTTAACACCTAATAAACCTGTTTCTTCCAGCAAATCAATGACATATTTCCTTTGCACAAGTTAATACTTTGCTTTGACCTTGCTACTTTTATCCCCAAGAAATATTTCAATTTACCAAGGCCCTTTGTCTGAAAATGTTCTTGTAGAAAAGCCTTCAACATATCAATGTCCATTTTATCATTTCCGGTAATAATAATATCATCTACATACACCACCAATAAGATCTTTCCTGCTTGAGAATCATGACTGAAGACTGAATGGTCAACTTGGCACTATTTCATACCAAACTTCTTTACTACCTCACTGAACCTACCAAACCGTGCTCGAAGAGACTGTTTAAGCCCATAAATGGCCTCCTTTGGTCTGCACACCTTATCGTCCTCCCCCTGAACAACAAACCTTAGTGGTTGCTCCACATAGACCTCCTCAAGTAGATTACTATGCAAGAAAGCATTCTTGATATCAAGCTGATAGAGGGGCCAATCATACATAGCAGCAAAAGAGATCACAACACGAACTGAACCAATCTTAGCAACCGGGGAGGTCTTTGTGTAGTCAATACCATAGGTTTGGGAATACTCTTTGGCAACCAGTCTAGCTTTCAACTGCTCTACACTACCATCAGGTAAGTACTTAACAGTATAAACCCACTTACAACTAACAACCTGCTTACCAGGAAGAAGATGAGTGATGTCCCATGTGTGATTATGAGTTAAAGCTGAGAGTTCTTCTTCCATTGCACTGCGCTATCTTGGAGAGGCAAGGGCTTCCCGGACATCCTTAGGGACAACAACAGAGGACAACAAGTAGATAAACTGGCGATGGAAAGCAGAAAGGTGGGTGGGAGACATAATTAGAAATAGGGTGAAGGGTACAACTACGTTTACCTTTCCGCATAGCAATGGGAAGATCAATGTCAGATACTGGGGGTGGAGCTAGTGTGGGGACAACTGTCGGATCTCTCGACAATGATGGAGCTGGAGGAGGAGCCGATACATGTGGGCGATGTGTATACACTTAACCGTTAGGTGGTGGCACCGGAGGCAAGGACTTGGTTACAGCTGGAACAAGAGGAACAAAATCTGCAACTAGAAGAGGAAGAGGAGGAGGTGATGAGGAGGAAGAAACATCACCGGACCCCAAGAAAAATAAAATATACTCAAAGAAGGTAACATCAATACACACAAGGAACGCCGAGAGCTAGGATGATAACATTTATACCCTTTCTGAGTCCGGGAATAGCCAAGGAAGATGCACTTAATAGATCGTGCACCTAACTTGTCCCTTTCTGGCCCTAGATTATGGACAAAGTAGACACACCCAAAAACTCGAGGAGATAGAGGAAATGGAGACAAGGTAGGAAACAAAGTGGTGAATGGAGAATGACCATCAAGGATAGACGTGGGCATCCAGTTAATCAAGAAGCAAGAAGTAAGCACCACACCACTCCAAAAGGGTTTGGGGACATTCATGTGATGCATGAGAGATCGAGTTGTTTCCAAAAGATGAAGATTCTTTCTCTCAGCCACTCCATTTTGTTGTGGGGTGTAGGTGTATGAAGTCTGATAGATAATGCCATGTTGGTCCAAGTATTCTTGAAATGATGAAGAAAAATATTCACGACCATTATCGGAACGAAAAATTTTGATGTGCACCAAATTGGTTGTGAATCTCAACATAAAATTTTTGGAAAATAGTAAACAATTCACTCATTTCTTTCATTAAATAGAGCCATGTCGTCCTTGAATAATCATCAACAAAAATGGAAAAATATCTATATCCATTGTATGACGTTACTTTATAAGGACCCCAAACATTTGAATGAACCAAAGAAAAATGACTCAACATACGGTTATCAACCTTATGACTAAAGGGAACACGATGATGTTTCCCTAACTAACACGACTCACAATCCAAAACAGAAAGATGACTCAACAAAGGAACCAAAGACTTCAAAACTTTCAGTGAATGATGACCAAATCGACAGTGCCACTGAAGAGGAGAGAGAGATGACTAGAGAGTTGTTGACATTTTTCCACCACCATCAAGATAATATAATCCACCGACTTCATGCCCTCCATCAATCTTCACCCCTGTCTTGAGATCCTGAAAAACACATGAAGAAGGGCAAAAAGTAATAGAGCAATTAGGTGACTTGGTCAACTTACGAACAGACATAAGGTTAAACGAAAATTTAGGGACATACAAAACTAAGGATAAAGGTAAAGGAGTCATGCTAACACTGCCAACACCACAAATGGAGGATGTTGAACCATTAGCACGGGTAACAGATTGTGATGTTGAGCAATGAGAGAGGGAAGAAAACACACATGGAGTTCCAGTCATGTGATCGGAGGCTCTAGAGTCAATAATCTAGGGATTGGGTGTGGATGCGAGACAAGCCATACCTGAGTGTGCGAGAGTGGTCGTGTTCTACTGAGATGTGGCTTGAACAAACCTCTCATACTCATCACGAAAAACACTCATCATCTCCTTCCCGAGAATATCTGTGGATGTAGGAAGCATCTGATCAGCCGAATGACTCTCTTGTCTGAAGCGACTATCACTAGTCATGGAATGATTGGTCCAAGTTGAAGGTGGACCATGCAAGTCATAGAAATAATTAATGGTATGTCCATTCATACCACAGTGTGTACACCTCCTCGGACCCGAACTACGTCCTCGGCCACGAGCTCCCCCTAAATCTCTACCTCTAGTACGACCACCACCACGGTTATAGGTAGGTCCACCACCACCACTCCGACTATATACCAGTCCACTGCTACCATTACGGGCCAAATTGAGCTCCTCGAACTCCACCTCTAACACCACTGCCCCTCGATACTGCAAAGGCTGATCTATCGGAAACACTAGTGTTCTCGGTAGATCCAATGGAAATCCTCCTAAGTCGAGCAAACGCTTCTTCTAAGGAAGGGAGAGCTGATCCTCCTAGTATTTGGGCCCGCACTGGTTCATACTCAGACTTCAGCCCCACCAAAAATCGAGTTACATCAAGTTGTTCTCTCTATTGTTATTGGATTTTGACATCAGAAGTGAGGGGGTGATAAACATTCAACTTATTACGAATGTTTCTCATACTAGCATAGTACTCCTCAAGACTCTGATTACCCTATTGTAGATTAAAGTATTCCTGATACAGCTGATATACTCTGGTTGTATTGTCTTGACCCGAATACAACTTCTTAGCATGATCCTACACTTTTTTGGCAGTGTCAAGAAACATGAAGTTTACACTAATCCTGGGTTCCATAACCATGTGATAATCTATGCATCTTCTTGTTCCCAGTCATCATACTCATGAGAATCGATGGAGGGTTTTTCTTCTCTTATGTGTTTCACATTCTTCTTTGCCTTAAGAAAAACTTCTACAGATTTAAACCAATGTACATAATTTTCTCCATTCAGTTTAATGGAGGTCATTTGAACATTCAAGTAGCTAGTAGGGACCATCACATTAGTCTTGCTGTTATTGCTATCTCCCATAGCTGAATTCTGATATTGTTGAATTTGGCACACTGCACACTAGACCACACCACACACTGAACACATTGGTTTCAGCACTTAGTATTGCTGAAAATTGCACTCTTTACACCACAAACCCTACCCCACAACTACTTGAACACTCACCACACTATTTGAGGACCACTCCCCTTTCGAATCATACTGAAAGAAAAAATAAACCCTAACACACTACAATCTGAAATCCCACCATACAATCTGAAACAGACTTATGATTTGATTCACAACACAAAATTGCATAGAAATCTCTTACCTAATCACTTGAAATTCAGACCACACAAGACATCCACTACACCACACGAATCAGCCCTCTTCTCTTCATCGATTTGGGGTGGGCTTCTTAGAAACCACAACAATCAACCACAAACAGTACAACTGGAGGCATAGAAACCTCTAAGGGAAAAGGGCGACCATTCCTTTTCAGCCCTTTCCCTTATCTCCAACAGATGATAAAGAAACCAAGAGAGAACCCTAGACTGGGTGCGTAGAGAACAGAATTCTGGGCAGGTCTGATTTGCTCAGTTTTGCTCTAATACCATATTAGGATTTGACCTGCCCTTGAATCCTATTAAGCTGATAACAGTCAAGAAAAAGGAAGAGAGAGAGAGAGAAGAAGAAGAAGAAGAAGAGAAGAAGGGAGAGAAAGAATTGGTTCGAATGAGAGAGAAAGATCACTCTCCCATTCGGCCAGAATTGATTTATATTACTTATATTATGGGAAAGACACATGTGCCCCTACTTAAGTAAGGGACACTAAATCTAACATAATCTTACACATCAACACATAAACATAAGTATAAAGACAACACTACCCCTACATATTCGACACTAACATGTGTCAATGGCGTTTAACTGATAAACACTTGGGAAATTTATGGTTTGCATTCTCTTGGAAATGTTTATCGGTTTTTTTGTATGTATTGTCCCAAACTCCACTCATGTTACAGTATCCCTCTTGTATTGTAATGGATCCCCTTGTCATTGTTCTCAGTTGTACAAATTTATAAAAATTTACGAGATGAATGAAATCTAAATAAAAAAAAATCCTAAATGTTTTGTGCAAAGTTGTCTCAAAAAATGAAAAAAAAAATATCTTTAAATATTTTCTTACAATTTAGTGCCATTACATGCCATATGTGTCAAATAGTAAAATGTCTTTTATAGATTTGAAAAAACATTATTTCTGGCAATTTTCTGATAAATGGTTTTTATGTTAGAGAATGAACGCCTACTTGGGCTATCAATACCAAACACCATTTTAATCCACAAATATAAGCTAGATGTTTGATGGCAATAACATGACACAGGACAAGTTTGGAAGTGGTTAAAAATATGTGCTTATTGGAATAAACACTTATATTGGGCTAGGGTCACACCAATAAGCAGTTATTGACATTTGGGAAATAAGTCCGAAATAAATGCTTATTAAGAAGCCCAAAATTCTGATTTATTTTTAGTGCTTATACAACATTGAAATTTTACTTCCAAAACACTCCTTGGTTATATTTTAAAATGCCAATATTGCCCTTTGCTCAGAACATAGGATATTATTCTTTTCATAAACCCCATAGGAGTGGTGGCACTATTCCAAACTCAAACTAGAAGCTTGTGCGTCCATGTTGGTGAATATTCTACTCTACTCATTTTTTTTCATTTTCTTATCTTCAACCGAACGACCACTACATGCGTCCAACCCTTTTAATCATTTTTTTTTTTTGTGAATACTATCTTATTCTTTTTCTAAGCTCGAACCAAGCTTTTGCATCCAAATTGGTGAATATTCTTCTCTAATCTTTTTTTTTTTTTTTTTTTTTCGTTTTCTCATCTTCAACCGAACAGTGAACATGGTGCCCAGCCCAATTACCCTTTTTTTTTCTATGAATACCTATTTGTTCTTCTTCCTAAATTTGTCTTTTTAAATGAATAAGTGCTTATTATAAAAAAAACCACCAAAATGTCTAATATAAAATACGTACTTTTTTTTTTAAATAAGTACTTGAAAACTGGGTGCCAAATACACTTGTTTATAAGGTGAACAAATACTTATTTTTTAAGTAATCACTCGATTCACTCCCAAACTTGGCCTTTAATCAATCGATAAACTTTTGAGAAGAAATTCGGTCTAGCAGTGAAAAAGGGATGTGTGGTTAATTAATGCTGAAGAAAGAATGGAAGCTGCTGGGCTTGGTGCGGAAGGTGGGACTAGCTTGTCTGTGCATATAAGCATGCCCAGCTGCCCAGTAACAGAACAGAGATGAGATCACCAATACTACATGACTCCCAAATGATTCATTTGGAGAAGCCTTGCTTTAAAAGCATGAGTTATCAAATTCTTAAAAGTTAAAAAAAACAAAACAACGTTCACTTCGTTTTCATTCCTCCTTGTGAGACAAAACAAAAGTACAAAAACAAACCCAATGTCGTTACATTTTTGGCTTTCAGAGGGGAAATGACTCCTCAGTCCTCTTGCTTCTTCCCATTGGTCAACTCTTACCCTCCCTTCAATTAAAATTTCCCTTTCTCTTGTCTCTTGTAGGGGATGAAAGCCATTAAGCCAACAAAACAGATCCAGCACGGAGGACGAACGAAGGTTCTTTCGATTTTTCTTTTTTCCTTGTATGCCGCATTTTCTTGTTGAAGGTTCCTGTTGTAATTGACGAATTCGAGCTTCCTTCTCTCTTCTTCTTATTCTGCTACTGCTGCTCTGGTCTGGGGTTAGTTTAATTTCCCGGGGTCTCCTTGATTCACACCCCGTGGTTTGGCGTTTGTTCGTTATCTCTATGTACCTTTCTTTCTTATTGCGTTTGGGGTAGAAGTGAGAGGAGGAAATGGCGAGAGCCGGAGGAATCACGAACGCGGTCAACGTCGGCATCGCAGTGCAAGCTGATTGGGAGAATCGAGAGTTCATCTCCCACATCTCCCTCAACGTTCGTCGTCTCTTCGAATTCCTCATCCAGTTCGGTAAGCAAGTCACTCTATAGCATCTCGAACGTTCTGATTCCCTCTGAGTAATTTCTTTTCAGTTCCTCATTAAATTGCATAGCTTTGTGTGTTATATTCTGTTGGCTGTTATGTTGTCTCTCTTTCATTAACAATTTAATAGGGGCTTTGCTCGGAGTTTGAGAAACAAGAATAGGATCTTCAATGGTTCTAGGGCTTTGAATTGTGCCCGAACAATCTGATGCTGTCACCGATGGCCCAGGAGAGGGTTATTCCTATTTGTGCGCTCACCTTTCAGGATAATTGTGTATAGGACCGTAGATAATTCCGTTTCGTATCAGGTTTGATTTCTATATGGGGGTTCCAATCGTTGGATTTTTAGTTATCTAGAAAAGGGAAAATAGGAAAAGTTCAATTTTTTTCTTTGATTGGTTTGGATTATTTGCTTTCAAAAGCTCAAACTTCTGTTTCTGTAGTTGCATACTGAGGTTACTATAATAAGTCCTTCATATCCTGTATGTGTTCTTAGAGTTAACTGCTTGCCACAGATATTGCTTGTAACTCTTCATCCTGTATTTGTGTTCTTTAAGTTAGCTGCTTTCCACAGATGTTGCCCTCAGTTTTGTGTCTTTTTCTCATCGGACCTAATTTTCTCATGTCTGACTTGTTCTGAGAATATCATTTCAAAAAAATGGGATCAATTGTTTGGAGGAGTCTGATCACCGGTTACTGCATCTCTTGGGAGGGAACCTTTTTGTGTATGGGCTTCCTTTGACACTGGTTCATGGGTTTAACCATATTTAGAAGGTCCAAATTTTGTCTTAATATCATCTGTTCATCCTATTGAGTATTGATCGTTCTCCTTGTCAGGTTTCTAGCATGAAGTTTTCTGTTCAGGGAAGGATGGTCTCTCTATGGTTGCAGGTTTGATCAGAAGTATAGGTTATAAATTTCTGCAAAGGGGCATTAGCTTTCTTTGAGTTTGATATTAATGCCCTTGGTAAAGGTCATCAATTTACTTTCAACTAGTGGTCAACATATATCAGTGCCAGGATGTTATATGATTTATTTATTTCTTCCTGCCTTTAATTTGTATTTTCTAATTTCTTTGATTTTTCTGCCTTCAGAGGCTACAACAAAGAGTAAATTGGCATCCCTGAACGAGAAGCTTGATTTGTTAGAGCGCCGTCTAGAATTGCTAGAAGTTCAAGTCAGTACAGCATCAGCCAATCCTTTTCTTTTTACCTGATATTCCCCATCCAGCTTATGTTATTTATGGTAAAATTTTAGTCTTATAAACAGCCTGCTAATTGTATTTGTGGTTAACTCTCATCATTTTGGAACCAGTCAGAAATCAATTAATCTTTCTGTTTTGTGTTGTCACTAACTGTGATTCCATGAAATTGTAAGGTCTTTCTCATAGTTTTCAAGGCGCCAAGGCGAGGCTGGGCATCAGGGGGGCGCCTTGTCGCCTAGGCAATGGATTTTATTATATAGAAAATATAGATCCTAGGGTAGTTTCCTAGGTACCATAGCCATATTTCCTTAATAATTATTCATAATTTTCATAAGAAAAGTATAGAGTTCATGTTAAAGTATAGAAAATCAACATATTCGTGAGAAGAAAAAAAGAAGGAAAAGAAAATTCAAAAAATATAGGGTCTGAACCCTTATTTTTGTTATAGGAAAAGAAGAAAAGAAAAAGTATTTTACAATACATAGTACAAAACTACTAGGCGGTTAGGCGAGGTGCGCCTTGCCGCCTAGGTGTTGCCTTGACAACTATGGTCTTTCTGTGGAAACAGAATATGAAAAAAACAAGTTGCAAGATATTTTGAGGTCAAATTATAACTAGTTAATGTTGTAGTACTGCTGAACTCAGATTGGAGAATGTGTAATGTCTTGGGTCTGCAAAACTAAATAAAGGTGTGAACCTGCCTGTGTTGTGCAGTTGAATCTGCTACAGGTGCTATTAGTAGATACCTAAATTTGTAAAAGAGATCAGTCTGGAAGTAACTGGGAGTATCAAGTATGTTTGCTTATATCTTTTGGCGATATTAATAGGACATCAAAAGGCTTCTATGATGCATTTGAATCTGCATGTATAAACGAACTGTGCTTTTATTATTTTATTTTTGGCTTAATGGGACTACACAATGGGAAGGTAGCTCATCCCCCATCCTCTTTACCCTCAACCCTAGTGACAGTGGTGCATTTAAACAAACTAGAGGTGGACAATCCGAGCCAGATTGGAAAGGTTTTTCTAGATTGTAACATAGAAAACTGAATATAAGATCAATTCAGAAAAATCTAGAGCTAATATTTCAGAGTGGTACTCCATATTTCAGGTTTAATGGTGGGAGATTTKTTTTTTTTTTTTTTTTTTTTTCATGGCTAGCCCCATTCAGGAGTTCGAATCTGCCAACCACAAGACCCCACAGCCATACAATCTCTTGTTGTATTACATGGGGAAATGTTTCGAAATCCGGATGTACAGCCATGGTGTCTTTGTGCACAGGATGTGGCCAGTGTTGTGCACTTGAGATCAGCTGCTTGCAGTGCTGTGTGTAAGTAGTTATACAAATAATCACGAGTGGATACATCAATGTTCCATAAACATGGGTACGAGTGAACACATCAGTGTTCCATCCACGTGGGACCTACACTCATGTGTATTGAATACTGATGTGTCCACTTGTGATTGGTTACATAGCCGCTTATGCACAATGGTGCAACTAGCAGATCACTCAGTGTTTTGTGGTCATCAGGTCTGTAACTCTCCAATTGGTCCAACATATTCTCTTTTGGTAATCTGTTTCTCTAGGGTTTCACCAACCTAAAACCCTGTTTACATTCTTTTGATGGCATCCATGCAGATTTTTCTTAGCTTTTTTCTGTCAGATACATAAGGCTGGTTTGAAGGAAAAAGTAGGGAAATCTTTACAAATCTTGTATGGATTTTCCCACCTTTTCTTTTCTTTTCCCACCTTTTCTTTCAAACCAAACATAAAGTTTTAAACTGCAGATTTCAGTTCGCGAATGAAGAATTGTAAATAGCAACTTCTAGAAATATGACAAATTGACAATTGTGGAACTTAAGGGGGATTGCGGGGACGGATACAGTATTAATAAATGAGATGCATGAAATAAAATTGATTACGTAAAATATTCTACCAAATAATACCCGGCCAGTCTTCTACTACAAATCATGGTTTTTAAAAACGATCCGGAGACCGAACTGGTTAGGGGTCCGGTTAATGATTGGTCCATTCTGATAAAAAAAATTAAAAAAATTAAAAAAACAAAAAATGGTTAAAATTGTTTGAATGATTCGAACGGTTAATCGCTTGGGTCAGCGATTTGCTGATCAAAATCAATAATTTTGGACAAATTTTCAGTTTTGGGGAAAATTAAAACCGATCACCTGACCGGTTTTCAGTTTTTCTAGTCCGGTTTTAAAAACTACAAACTACAAAATTTAATTTAATTAATTTAACAAACAAGCAATTTCATAGCTGGGCTTGGCCAGATTGTCACGTCCTCTCTGGTTCCTGGAAGCAAAGCGGAGGATCGATTATTGTAATAGTGTTGCCAGTAGATGAGCTAAGCCATTTCCATTGGGGTCCATCCCAAAAAATGCTGACGTTGAGGTTCATCAGTCCTTCATATGGATACGTTATGGTTGTGTTCATGCAACCCCAATATTTTGGGATCCATATCAAGGCTTTCAAGAAGTACCTAAAAAAAAGAGGGCAATGAAGGCGATAAAGAGATTAAAAATCAAATTTTTATATAATTATAATTTTGATATATTATTTATTTCGTTAATGTTTATAAAATACTTATGTTTAATAATGTTTTTTTTTTTAATTTTAACTTAAAACTATTGAACATAAATATATGGTATTTGGCTAGATTGCATATTAACAATAAAGTTAATAAAAATTTATTTTATTTTATTTATTATCACAAGCTAAGAGGTGGCCTAGTGGTTCAACAAGTTAGACAAAAGATGGATTAGGCATTGAGACTGAGTGTTCATGTATACCGTGCCAATATGCGGGAGCCATGGCCCCCCCTATGGTTCAAAAAATCTCCACTGAAATACAGCTTTCCATTTAAATTTTCCCCTCCCCCTATGGTTGGTTTCCCCTATCATTCATACTTCATTTATGTTTTGGTGCCCCTTGTAACAATTTCCTGACTCCACCCCTGCATGTAACATACTAGTCGCAGCATATCATGTATCAGTTCTTTGGGATACCGATATGATACATCCAATACGGGACATATCATATCGATATTTTAAACCTTAATCGGCAGATGTGTATCAACACTTAAACCACACACCTTTTAGGTTTCTTTTAGTTTCCTTAATTTCTTTTTAATTTTCAGTTTTAAGACTGATTTTATAATATTGTTTAATAAAAAAAGATTCCCAAAGATACCTGATGTATTGGTCCTAGGTGGTGGTAGTCCAGGGCATGGAGCTTGGAGTGACGTTTGGAATCACTGCTATCAGTATCAAGTGTTGGGAGTGTCTGGGATTATCTCGCATGAGTAAGTGTAGTAGCCTAGTGAAGAACTGCACCATTAAGGCTATGTTTGGTTTGAAAGAAAATGTAGGGAAAGGAAGGGAAAAACGAAGAAACCTATACAATGTTTGTAAAGGTTTCCCTAAATTTCCCTTCCTTTCCCTGCATTTTCCTTTAAACCAAACATAGTGAACACTAGAACTCATCCATAGTGAACTTAAAAAGTGAAACTTCGTTTTGCAATATGTTATGAAAAAACCAATTCACCCATACATAAACAACCACACACACAGCGACCTAGCAAGTCATACTGGGGAAGGAATTAGTTACATCATTGGGTTGTGCATTTTTTCGATCTTTCTAGTGTTCAGAAGGTATAGACGTGTAGGCCTTGAGGTCCCCATTAACGCACTGTGGATTAAACTCCATCATCTTGATGATGCCCATGGGCCGAAGCTCTGATGCTATGACCCATGATCATAGTCATTAACTACCCTATGCATACCAATTCGAGGTGAAGTCAAAAAGTGTTTTGAGTGTTTGGTAAGTGTAGCTGATGTAGTATATGTTTGGTATCGATGCTGCAGATACAATACCGTTTTCTATGCTGTTGATGTGTGGGTTGGAATCACCGTTTTCTAAGGAAACAGTGTCATTTTTTTTTTTGAAACATTACTATCAGGTAGGGCATTTCCTAGAGAAACAACAACACCTTTTGTTTGGTACCAGTGCTCCATATTTGTCTTCAGCAACGGTACCCATTATAGGAAGTCCACGCCACTGCTACATCGTATCCTCATTGACAGCAACAAGCTCCAATTTAAGAAAATGTCAAATTCAGCGTTGTTCTAAACCATGCCTTCTCGATTTTCAAGGCATGGCTTGAAGCACCATTTTTTATGAAAAAATGGTTCCAAACATATTAATGTTTCCTGGAGCACCATTTTTTTTTCCAATGTAACACTGATGTATCATTGTTTTCTAGAGCAATGGCATCGATGCCAAACAAACACCTTGTAATTGTGTCCACCCAGCATCCCTCTCAGCACTAAACCTGTGTAATTGTAGAGTTCGGATCATTTGTCAACAAAATATGTTCCAACACCACACATCTCATGCATGATGGACCCCAATTTCATAACGAAATGTGTGATGTCAGATCAAGTTATTGGGCTTCCACCCTTTAATCCCCAATAATGTGTAATATGCAATACATAAAAAAAAGAAAAAAGAAAAAGTGTTTGTATTTTTTGAAAGGGAAAATTCCTGATAGGTACCTGTACTTTAGGCCGAGTGCCAATTTAATACCCGAACTTTAAAATGCGACAATCTAGTACCCAGACTTTCATTTTGCAACAATCTAATACCCGATATTAACTAGCCGTTAAATGACATGTAAAAAGACAAAAATGCCCTTCAAGTGTAAACTCCCAACTTGATGAAAGTAGAATTTAGTGATGCTCATACTGTAAATGGGGTTAGTATGTACCATAGATTTAGTGAAAGTCCGTTTTCCTACAAAAGACAAAAAAGAAGCTTTCTAGTTTGATGCATTTTCTCCACCACATATTACAGGGGTAGATGTATTTTTTTCTAACACAAAGGGATCCCCAAATATTCTAAATTTTTGTCAAGAGCAGTCATTCTCATTTGTCTCCAAAATATCAACAACCCCTTCCCTATTGACTTCAAGTCTTGATAACTTGTGGAAGCCTTTTAAAATATCCAAAATATCAGCAATCCCTTCACTATTGGCTTTTCCAAACAAATGAACATTATCAGCAAACAACAAGTGTGAGTTGGAGGGGCATTCCTATGGAAAGCTTTTGATCATTATTAGCTTTTCATATTAATCTTCATATCCCTTTCATAAAAGAAATAGATAAGGAGAAATAGGGTTCCCTTGTCAAATGCCCCGGTTAGGGAAAAGAAACCCGTAGGTGTTCCATTGATCAGGACTAAGAATCTAGTTGAACTAATGCTTTCCCATATCATGTTATACTAGTCTTGTGAGAAGCCTAAAGACCTAAAAACCCACTTCAGATAGTCCCATTCCATAGTATCATAAGCCCTAGAAATATCCAACTTTTTCGCCATAAAACCCCCTCTAGTTTTTTTTTTTTTTTTTTTTTTTCAGGAAGTAAAAAATCTCTTCGGTTATAACTATGCTATCTTGTATTTGCTTGGAATAAAGGTTGTTTGGAAAGGGAACACACATTTATGCAATACAGCTTTTAACCTATTTGCCAGAATTTTAGGAATTATTTTGTACAAAATATTACATAATCTTTTTGGCCTAAAATGTTTGACCTGAGAAGGATTTTTGGATTTAGGAATTAAGATCAAGAAAATGTGGTTAATGATGCCCACAATTTTTTTTTTATTCTTAAAGAAATCACATACAAATTCAAAAGTATATAAAGTCATTTCATTGCAAAACCTTTAAATACACTAAAGCTGCTATTGAAAACGGTGCAAATGGAGTGTAAATCCTGGTTCAGGGTAAATTTGCACTGTGGTTCATTTTTGCATGTATTTGGCAACATTACATTTATACATTGACAAATGACAGAAAACACATTTTCTAATGCATATTTACATTGATAATAAGATGTAAAAGTACATCAATAAAAAAGAAGTAAATTTGCATTCAAGTGGGTTTTTGATAATAAAAGGCATGTGCTTTATTGGAATACGTATTTGCATCCATTATAGGTAAAAGTCTATTTGGTAAGAAGGTAAATTTGTTAGTATAAAACTAACCCAACTTTGTAATTTATATGAATTATTTTACACTCTACATATTTGTATTCACACTTATTTACATCATTTCCAAATGCAACCTACAGTAGGAATCACATCAAGTCCCAATGCCTTACCACTTCCTTTATTACTTCCTCCACAATTGGCATGGTATTTTTGTCCCTACTTTTTAACCAAACATTTCCTGTTGAATTAGAAGTTTTTCTTTCAAACTCTCAAGGTCTTTCCTTCAATTTTCATTTTATAAATTTCTTATCGCGTGTTCTAGCTCAAAAAGTAATTGATCAACTCAATCCACCTTCGTATTCACATCCCCAAAATTTTCCTTGCTCCAATTTTTAAGTTCTGCCTTTATTCTATCCATCTTTTGTGTGATTTTGTGGCTAGTGGTAGGATTTTCACAATTTCAGTACACTCATTTTCCATTAACCAACATCAACATGGAAAAGCTTGAAAGGCTTTGGTTTATTATTTTTCACTTGGATTCAGGTGGATTATCATTGATTTATGACCTGATCCCCACTTAGGGCCAATTATGGTTGCTATTTTTTATGAAATTTAAGAGATCTTTTGAGAAAAACTCTATCTAATTTTTTCTCAATTCTACCCAAACCTAGCTACCCATTCAGCCAAGTTTTCCACCCACCCACAACATTATTTTCCGTTAATTAAAATTCTTCCACAAATGACCAAAAAATTATACTTACCCGAGTATTTAAACCACTGTCACTCTCAAATTCTTCATCAAGATTTACAGTCGATATTATGTTAAAGTCACCCACAATTAAACAAGGAATATTATTTGAGTTAACACACTATAATTCATCAGTAAAATGTTCCTAGAAATTAGCTTTATATCTTTTATAATGTTCATCATATAAAAACGCAATAACCAATTATGATTAAGGAGAAAATATTTAACAAACAAGAGCATATAGTTTTTGCATACCTTTACCACGTCCAAGAAAATGCTAGTCCCCTTGCTAGACCTTCAACAAGAACACACATAAAATTAGGATATTTCAAACTCATATTCAACTTGGTCATCTTTTCCTTTGAGACTTTTGTCATTGAAAAGAAAAGTATATCAGGACTACACTGAGAAATAAATTAGGTTTCCTTGTCTTTTCCTACCTTTTCCTTCAAACCAAACACAGCCTATTTCCAATATCACTTCCTTGTTATCTCAAAATTACAGTTTCCAGTTCCAGAACAAGAATGTAAAGGACTAAGGAAACAAAAACAATCAACGTAAAGGATAAAAATGTCATTTACATTTGTCAACGGCAAATGTTTTCGGTCGGAACTTGACAGGGAGACAAGTCTCTAGAAGGTTCTATGTCTACCTTCTTCTGTTTTCTCCCTTCCCATTTTCTATCCGACCCCTTCGTGCAAAAACCCTAAACCCTGGAAGAACCCGAATTCCATCCATCCAACTCTTGAAGGTTCGTTAGTCCTCTTTTCTAACAGAATAAGAGAAGCTTTCCTTTGCCGTTAGTTTTCTACTAATTTCAGTTGAAATTCCCGTGGGGAGTTCTTCCGGAAATTCAGGGCCTCGCAGCATTCATTGGTGCTTAAAAGTATTACGTAGATTTTATTTTTATTACTTTTGCGCCTGTGGTTAGTAGGCTTGGAAGCTAAATTTCTAGAGCGTCTTAAATTCCGAACAGCCAGCAGGAAGACTATGGCCACTTCGGTTCTTCTCAGATCGTTGAGGCGTTCGTCGTATCTCTCTAGTTGCGCATCAGTATGCCTTCTCGACCTACTCCTCGATATGTTTTGATCTCGTAAATTACCATTTCTTCATTTCGAGTGGTTGCCTCGTTTTCGTATTCTTTTAGCAATGTAGATCATCAGAGTCGTTCGGTTTCGGCTTCCTTTGATATATTAGGTCTCGGTATTGCCATGTTCTTTTGATTGAACCAAATTCTTGATTTCATTTCATTTCTTTTTTTCTTTTTCTTTT